AAAAAAAAAAAAAAAAGAATAGAAAAAAAATACTGTTTTGGAGAATTTTTTTAGCACAAAGAGGGGAAAGTATAAGACATTTTTTTCTTCTGATGCTGAATGAACTGTAAGCAAAAGAAAAAATAAAAGGTATTTTCAGTGAACTAGGACCAGATTGAGGAAGGTAAGTAATGGAAATACACTGGAAAAATGGGTTAAGGACAGATTATAAGGAGCCTCAAAGGCCAGGTTAAATAATTTTGACTATATTCTTTTTTTTCTTTTTTTGAGACAAGAGTCTCACTTTTTTGCCTCTGGTAGAGTGCTGTGGTGTCATAGTTCATAGCAACCTCAAAATCTTGAGCTTAAGTGATTCTCTTGCCTCAGCCTCCCAAATAGCTGGGACTACAGGTGTCCACCACAGTGCCTGGCTAATTTTTCTATTTTTAATAGAGATGGGGTCTCTTGTCAGACTGGTCTTGAACCCGTGAGCTCAGGCAATCCACCTGCCTCAGCCTCCCAGAGGGCTGGGATTACAGGTGTAAGCTACCACACCTGGCTCATATTCTTAAGTATAGGTTTATATTTATAGATTTCTTTTTTTTTTTTGAGGCAGGATCTTGCTTTCTTGCCCAGACTAGAGTACGGTTGTGTCATCATAGCTCTCTGCAACCTCAAACACCTTGGCTCAACCAATCCTACTGCCTCAGCCTCCCTAGTAGCTGGGACTATGAGCCTACACAACCATGGTTGGCTGATTTTTCTATTTCTCTTTAGAAATGAGGTTTCACTATGTTACTCAGGGTGGTCTTAAACTCCTAGGCTCAAGTAATCTTCCTGCCTCACCTCCAAAAGTGGAGGATTACAGTTGTGACTACTACATCTGGCCTACATTACATTCTTAAGTTTTATCCTTGGAAGGGAATTTTGGGGGGTTTGGAATTTTAATCCCCTAATATGACAGTTGGTCTTGTATAGTCACAACTTTTATAAACTGTTGACTTGACAGCTAATTAATAACTTTAACTTTTTGTTTATGTTATTAATAAAGAAATTAGGACTTCTCAGGTCCTAACTCTCAAAGTATTTAAATTCCCAGATAGTCTTAGGCTGAACATTAAGAGTTTATAGGACTAATATGTGCTGTTATTTTTCCTGAATCTTTTGGAGAGCTGCTTATTAAAGCACAAGTGTCAGCTGGGCGAGGTGGCTCATGCCTATAATCCTAGCACACTGGGAAGCTGAGGTAGGTAGATTGCTTGAGCTCATGAATTGGAGACCATGAGGTCTCTACCAAAAATAGAAAAACTGAGGCAAAAGGATCACTTGAGCCCGAGTTGTAGGTTGCTATGAGCTATGACACCATGGTATTTTACCCTAGATGACAGCTTGAGACTGTCTCAAAAAAAAAAGCAGGAATGTCTTAACGTTTCCTGCCAACTAGATATTTATGTTGTGACCTATCAATTCTTTTTCTCCTTTGTTATCAGCCGTAGTCTTGGAGGAAAGCTAGGGGCCTCTGTCATTGAAATCCTAGGGGTGGAATATATGGGTGAACTGACCCAGTTCACTGAATCTCAGCTCCAGAGTCATTTTGGGGGAAAGAATGGGTAAGTGATTTATATTATTTTTCAGTCATAACCTTTATGGAGATGCTAGGTCAAAAATAGATAAAAGCATCTAGTAAAATCCAGACTTACCTTTAGGTTAACATTTGGTTTCTGAGGTAACTTTACCAGTCTTTCTTGCTTTAAAATATTAGGTCATTATGGCCTATTGGTTTAGAGTAGTTTTCTCATAAACCTGGGTGGTTGATAGCTAGGAGTTATTACTTTTATGCCTAGGTGTATACTATTAATTATATCATGCATGTGTGCTAAGATGTTTTCTTAAAATCATTGTTTTACAAAAAACTTGGGGATGGGAATCAATGGCTTGTATGGCACTTTTCAAAAAGTACAAATGGTGATCTGGCTTTAGAAAGTAGAACCAGTGTTGTCTTTGCCAATATATTCCATTGGAATTGATTGAGAAGGACGGAGGTTTCTGTCAGAGGTCAGGAACACTAAATTTTGGAGAGATTTTTTCTTTTTCATGATAAGGATAAAAGGGTATTATGATATAAGTATTTTATTTTATTTCTAGAGATTAGTCATTTATTTTGCCTTAAAGTTTTTTTGCTGGTTTTATTAGGTCTTGGCTATATGCCATGTGCAGAGGGATTGAACATGATCCAGTTAAACCCAGGCAACTACCCAAAACCATTGGCTGTAGCAAAAACTTCCCAGGAAAAACAGCTCTGTCTACTCGGGAGCAGGTAAGCAGGTGTTCTTAAGAGAACAGTGCTTATGGGGCCGAGGTGGGTGGATTGCTTGAGCTGATGAGTTCAAGACCAGCCTGAACAAAAGCAAGACTCCATCTCTACTAAAAATAGAAAAACTGAGGCAAGAGGATCAGTTGAGCACAAGAGTTGGAGGTCATTGGCTCGGCACCTATAGCTCAACCGGCTAAGGCGCCTGCCACATACACCTAAGGTGGCAGGTTCGAATCCCCAGCCCGGACCCGCCAAACAACAATGA